CAACTGCTGTGAACCCGCGCCTTGTCGGTGACTATCATCTCTTCCTCTTCTGCCAGTTGCTGACGAAGACGTTCAGCCGCCTGCTTCTCCTGCTTTGTTGTTTCCGTGTCCGTGACAATGCAATCCAGCATCGTCTGCGCCTTTTTACTATTCGTTGCTAGCACGGCCTCATGCTCGCGGAGTTTGGCTCGCTGCTGTTCAACCTCCTCCGACGCCGCATCCAGCTTGGCAAGACCAGTGCGCAAGTGTAGAACCTGCTCCTTCGATCCACCCCGCTTCTCCTCGTACAGGAGCTGTAACTGCTGCACACAGTCGGAAAAGTGACGCGGCGTTATAAATGTCCCTTGATGCGCATTCTGCAGTCGCACCACGCGGTTCACCTCATCCGTAATCTCATGTATGCCGCAGATGGCATCGGCCAGTGCATCGCGTGCCTCTTCCTCGCGTTTCTGAAACGTCTTCTCACAGGAGAACATGATATCAATCGGTTTTGTGAGCTGACGTGTTACCTGATGGCGTGTGTCACGGTCCCAGTCCCCAAACCAGTCTATGGTGCAACGGTTAAAGAGAGCCGGACTCGACACGGCACGACTCACAAATTCCCCGGAGGAGGGGTCAATCGTAAAGATGACGTGGAGATTGCGTTTCACATTACTCAGAAACCAGCGATATAACTCTTGCTCGGATTTGGTGTCAACATAAACGGCAGAGTCCATCGTATCAAGCGCCTCCCGTTGCGGGGCCGAGATGCCATGACTACTGGCTGCATCCTCTGATTTGCTGTGGGATGAGGGCAACATCGACGTTTGTTTTTGTTTTTGTTGTTGTGGTTGTTGTTGGTGTCGTCCTTGTGAGTCATCGTCGTCTTCCTCCTGTGGCAACTTCTGCGGCTTGTTGCTTGCCTTGAGGCACTGCTGCGCTACAACGCTCTCGCGTATTTCCTCCATAAGTTTCCCCCATTCTTCGCCGTCAAACAGGCCGGGAACCTCACCCGACGCCAGGAGGGCATTCATGTACTCTAAGAAACTCGCCTCCATGATGTTGCTGTCGTCGAAAATAAAGCATATGCGCTCCAGTTTACATCCGACACGTCGCAGTATGTCGCGCAGGTCCCGTTCATAGTCGTCCAGTTGATAATTGCGGTGAACACCAAGACGAACCGCCGTCATGCCGTTCATCCACGCAACAAGCCGGGCAATGATTGTTTTCCCCACACCAGAAGATCCCGCAATCAACATGTGGCCCAACGGCTGCTGCAGGACACGATTGATGCGTGTGACATGATCAATCATTGCATCGTAGACAACAAGTGCGGTGTCCACTTCCTCCTCACAGAACGCATCCAGTTTCTGTTCGATGTGTGCACGCAACTCGTCCCGTGCGTTCTCCGTGTACGAGGGCCGCAATATTGTAGAGTACAACACGGGCCGCTGAAGAGAAGGTGGATAAACTGACGCCAAAGTAATTTCAGGGAAATGTGTGGTGAAGGCGCGGTCAATGGTGGAGTCGGTCCAATCCCGCTCCTCACGCTCCACCAACCGGTCCTGAAAGATACGCAATCCCTCGTGTACGGAAAGACGCACAAGTCCCTCCACACGCAACTTGTGTCGCTCAGACTCCTCCCACGTCAAAAAGGCACTGTGGACAGCACGTGCCCAGCGCGAGAGGTCACGTGGGGAGTAGACATAGTGCGGTTGCTGCCATGAAGTGAAGTGCACCTGCGTTGCCGTGTACATTTCCACCATTGCCGACGCCAACTTTTCCGCATGCGAACTTTGCATCTGGGTGTTAAAGGCAAGGATGGCACGACAGTATGACGTATAGATGATATGGAGACTTTCTTTTGTAGGGAAGTCCACAAATAAAACGGGTGCGAGTCGCAGAAACCGATGTGAAAGTGGCACGCGTCCCGCATCAGTCGGTGGATTACAGGCGCCAATCACCTGTACCCCCTCAACGGTGATCCATGCATTGTCACAACTGCGGTAATAGCCGCGCCGTTCAATTATTTGACGCAGCAGTTGCACAACGGACTGAGTCCCGTACTGATCCAACGCCGGAAGGTTAATCTCATCACAAAACAATAAAAGCACTTTGCCACTGGTGGGAGACATAACAGGGCCACGTGTCGTGTTTTGTACACTGCAGTACTGCTCCAACGCACGAATAATGTTTTTTGGCTCTGTTCCACTTGAAAAGTTTAAAAACACGGCATCATATTCGGAGGACTGGAGAAGAATCGATGCGATTAACATCGTCTTGCCGGATCCAGGCGGCCCACAAAGAATCGCCGCGTTACCTCCGGCAATCCACGCACGCAAGATTCCCTCATGACGACACGTGTCAACCGTAGGAATGAGCACATCGTTTGCTCCCATCTGATCGGCCGTAATGAAAGTGTCCTGCACACGTTCACGGAAAGCACGCCACTCACCGGTTATGGGGTCCGGCTCAACATCCAGCAATGAAAGGCCGTCGGCCAATCCCCCGCCAAATGCTGATCCCACAGCAAGAGATAATTCTTCCATCCAGCGTCGACGAAGTTCATGGCTTAGTGAGGCCGTAAATCCCCATAAAACGGCGTATTGAAGCACGTTCGCCGCGTACTTTTGCAGAATATCCATCGTGGGCAATTTTGCCTGTTTTTCACGCAGCCTCCAGATGCGAGAAACCCCATCAAGCAACAAGGACTGCACGCTACTTAGCATCTGTAGTTCATCGTGCTCCATAATACCCTGCTTCCAATACCGTTCACTGTGGATGAGCCGGACGGCAATTTCCACCAGGCCATCTTTGGCAAAGGCAGGAGCCCACACATTTGCCATGGATATCTGCAGCTGCAGTAAATCCCGGTCCAAATCCGTGAGAGCGCTCGAATACCACAATGATGTCTCCTTCTGGCTACTTTGGTCGCTAGGGGTAACGTGTTCTTTGGACGCAGCAACAGGGATATTACTTGCGGGACTAGCGGTCTCTCTTTCTATTTCTTCCGGTTTTATTCCCTGCGTTTCCTTCAACGTGTCTACAAGCATCTCTCCGCGATCCACACCAATGCGTTGGACCATAAAACAATTTCCACCCGATCGCGTCTTGTAATCCTCACCATCGTAGGCGACACTAGCAATTTGCTTTTTGCCGTGCTTATCAATCAATGGGGCACGGCAGAAGACATTGAAGTGACGGCTTAGGACACTGGATATTGGGACGGTACCGCGATTAAACCAAATCATACCGCAGCGTGACACCGTCGCCGGCGTCGCATAGCGCAGGTCTTGAACCTCAAACACAATACGCACAGAAGGCGGTAAACTGAGACGCTCGCCGTTGGGTAGGGTGTAGATTTTATTGTCATCCAGAAGGGAGTTTAGGTTCTCTACCCAATGAGGGTCGACGTCACCATCAAAAACAATCCAATGCTGCTGACGTGAGCGGTCACCGCCCATCTCGTTGTTGACGATACGGCGAAGAATCTCCGTAAAAACACCGTCCCTCCACTCCCGTGTGGTGGCTTCAAATACGCCAAATAGTTCTGCCTTGCTCATTGCCTTGGGATCAATCACGTATGCATGCGCCTCTAGTGGACCAATTCGGTCCGTACCCTCTTTGACACTACTTACATCACCCTCATCGTCATCACCATCATCACCTGCCACAGGGAGTCGCGCCATGGCGCGCAGCAGCGTCTTCCAGCAGAGCGTTTTCCCCGTACCACTTGGTCCAACCAACATGAGGCCGTGTCGCATCTTGCGTGTGTGGTACAGCTGACAGACCTTCTCAACCCACGCTGGTGTTGGAATGTAGTGGGTGGCGCGGCACACTTCTTCAATTGCCGCACGCAATTTCGTCATGGCTGCACCAGGGAGAGGGAGTCCGGGAAAAAAGTCCCGCAGCAAGGGGTAAAATAGGGTCAAATCCTCTGTCACAAGACGAGGCGTAATGCTGTTGATGAGACTCTGCAACACTATTTCACTCTCCACCTCCTCGAGGCTCGTCGCGGTGACTGGTGCATTTAAATTCGTGACTGCGGCGTCGCGCGAGGACCTTCTGAGATTCCCTGCCGTCACGAGAACAGACTTCAGAGCACGAAGCCCAAAGTCGTAGTGCGCCTGTTGAGATAATTTCTCTAAACACAAATGAAAGAGCGGCACAATTTTCCGAGATAGCGCCTCTGCAGTACGAAAACCCTGAGCAAACAACATGACCTCCACGATGGTCTCACGGTCCGGTGCAGCCATAGTCATAGTGCGGAAAAGTTGTTTCAGGTTCCCCGGCAAGTTTGAGCGGCCGGCAAAGCCTGGGTTCATGGTGATAAATAACGCCACACTTTCCCGCAGTGGTACCGTATGCTGTGCGAGCGTTACGGTGTTGGACTGGGCTCGAAGTGCCTCCTGGATCGTCAGGATTTGCTGTGATACGGCAGACAGCACACGCTCCTCGAGTCGGTTAAACTCATCAAAACAGCCCCATGCGCCCACTTGGCAAAGGCCGAGGAAAATACGGCCAACAGCGTCAAAATCAAAGGTGTCATCACAATTGAACACCAGCACGTGTCGGCCAATTTGCGTGCCAAGCGCCTTCACAGTCTCTGTTTTCCCAGAGCCGGCAGGGCCAATTGGCGATCCACCAAGACGTGCGTGTAGTGCCTGTGTCATGGTGAGATAACAGCGGTCGGTGAGGGTGGTCTGCACAAGGCGCTGGTACCATCCAAGGTACTCAAAGCCATGACGGAAGGAGGCGTCCGCCATTCGGCAATGTAACTCCGTTCCATTTTCGCTTAGGTACAACCGCAAAACACGTAGCCACTCAAATTCATCAACAGATAGAATGCGTTTTGATTCAATCACCCGAGAGACGTCGCGCTGATAAACGGCAATCGTAATAATCTCCTCAATTCCATGACGCAATGCCGGCGTTGTCTCCGGTGTGATGCCGTCCAACGCGAGAGAATCAAGCAGCGATACCATGTGGGCTACAGCCATCGAAGGTTCCCTTCTTCCTGTTCCTTCTTGTTTCTGCAATGTCAGGAGGGTTTGCTCCTGCAGCCGCACCCACCACACCTGAAAGGCGAGACAGACGACTTGCAAAGGAAACGATGTTATCCACGCCGTCGTTACCTTCCCTGCGGATGTTAAAGAATTCACGGCGGACACGGTGAGTTGACACAGAGATGTTACCATCGAGCCTTCCACCTCAGCTAGCCAGTCGTGCAGCACACGATCTTTCAACGCCACCGGTTGTACCATCATCACTTTTTCTCCATCTGCGCTCGCAAACCCCACAATTTGAATTGCGGCTGAAGAATCGCTCCCCTTGGCCTCACCACCAACAGCAGTATCATCACTGCTAACAATAAAGCGGGCGAGGGCGGCAAACATCTTGGGCAAGTGCTTCTCAACGAGAGTAGGCTTTCTGCTGTTCCCAAGGGTCTCCAGCAGGTCATCATCTCCAACGAAAAAGAGGCGAGGGAATTGGCGTCGCTGCATGTCCAAATATGTACTCAGCGCCCGCTGCACCCGTGAGAGTTGCCCCTCGAGTCGCTGCAAGGAACTCAGAAGCTTTTTATCCTGAATGAGGTCCTGCGCCGTCAACACTGGCACAGAACCAGTGCTGGCCTTTACGGGCATTATTTTCATAAACTCACGGCTCGATCGATCAAACTGAATCGCATCATTAGGCAACTGTCGGCGGATGTCGGCGTTTCCGGTAAAAATGCTGTCGAGATGGACCCACCGCCGTTGCACCACCATCAGTACCTCCAGTGACTGCAAAAGAAAATGAAGACGATTGTCCCATTCTGCCAAAATGGCAATGACATGTTGCGAGGAGAAGAAGGGACTGGAGCGGAGCCCTTGGAAAGAGTCAAGATCGTCAGCAAGTCGCTCAAAGATGACATCCCACCCACGAATGAGTACAAACTGATGCTGATAGACCATCGTGTCAAACTCAAAATCGTTCCAGAAGGCAACAATATGTCCAAGCTGTGACTCCAAACGAAGTTCACCATGGGCAAACTGCAACACATCATGATAGATCTTCGCGTGCTCGATGGGATCACTGCGCCAAATGTCACCAACGGTCAACTCCTCTAGTTTCCATGGCGCATGCAGCTGAGACTTCAGTGCCATCCAATGACGCTCCGCCCGCTCCAATGGTGTCATGGCATCAGAACGTAGTTCTTGCATCAAATGCCGACAAGCCATGCGGTTTTCAATACAGACCTGTAGATCCTTGTACGCCTGGTGGCTACGAACACCTTCAGGAAACTCTCGTACCTCACTTTCTATCGCGAGTATCTCGTCGTGTAATTGCCGTGGGACCATTTCAAAGAATGGCGTTCGTGCAATCGCATTTAGTCTTTGATAAGCTCGTGCAATGTGGCCACAGACCCACTGCAGCTCTTCCATGCTTGACATGATTGTCTCCAACTTTATCTCCACAAGAATAGGGACTCCAAGCGCATCTTGCAGCGCGATGAGTTGCTTCCTTTGTTCCTTCAGTCGTGTGGCCCTTTCCTCCATATCCCTAAATCGCCGCTGTGCGGAGTCTGAAACCTCTTCTAATTGCGCCTGCTCGTGATGTTGCACCTGTATGGCAATCGTATGGAGGGATTCTTCTAGTTCATCTATTTGGCGGAAAAGAGTTTCCTCCTGGGACTTCACACCCTCACGCAGAAACGGGCGACGAAACTCCAGGGCTTTTACCTTTCGTTCAATAAGATCGTGGTAGGCACGATACTCCGTCTTGACCTTCCGTACATAAATCCATGAATCCGGCAGTGAAAAACCCTGTCGCCTCAAGTATTCTTCAGCTGTCGCAAGGGAAACAAGTTGTCGTTCGGTCGCTTGCATGTCTGCTTTAATATCCGGTAGCTCGCAGAGAAATCGAGCTGCGTCTTCAAGGTCGTTTATAACATTGCAATTTTCTGCTGCCGTTCGAACCTCCATGACATGATGATAACAAGAATCAAGATGTTTCTCCACCACATCGCGGTACCGTGAGTGGATGTATTGCGTCATGTTGTCCAGCTTCCGGCCAAGTTCCTTCTGTGCATCATCCGCAACAATAACGATACCACCGACAAGAGTGCTTGGTTGTGTATAATCCATCAGCCTGCTGGCCATCTCGCGAATGTGTTGCAGAGCATCCCCCCACTTTTCAAGATCGTCACCGAGGCGCTGTTGCAACACCCCCAGTTCAATGTTTAGCAGCTGCTGACCACGACGCCACTGTGTTTCCACCTCAATGGCGTCCCGGATGCTCTTCTCAATTGCCTGCAGTGGCTCCGCAATGAAATGCGGAGAAATCCGTTCCCATACCCGGTCGTATGTGGATGACGTCGATGCCATCGTGAGTTGCGTGACCTTCAAGCTCCATTCCGGGACCCGTTTCTCCTGTTCCTGTTGTTGTTGGTGGTGGTGGTGGTGATGGTGCGGGGATTCCTGCCGCAGCGTTGACAGAGTGTGAACCCACGCAAAGGAGCGGTTCAGCTCATTCACCCAGTGGTGGCGACACGCCGCAACCGGTAACGACAGCGAAATCTCCTTGAAAACCACCCGCATGCGCACCCGCAGCGGCCGCAGACCAAACTCCTCCGTCTCTGCGTTCTTGTCAAGAAATCGAGGGTCGCGACTCATCGACAGAAACTCATTCGTCCAACGGCGAAGATGTTGTTCCAGTTGCCAGACAAGTGCAGCGTCAAGGCAAGGCTGCACACGTCGCACCCACCAGCATGCATTGGCACAATTCGCGTAAAGAGAATTGACGAGGGCGTGCATCTCCTCTACGCGCCCCACCACCGCCTCTGCCTTTTGGACGGCATGACTGCGCAGCTGGGTAATTCCGCGCTCCATGTCGGCGGTGACTCCACGTACTTGAGCCACGGCTGCACAGAAGGCATAGACGCGTTCTGAGAGCTCCTGCGCAAATTGCTGCAACATTCCTTCATCGGACCAGCTCAGCTGAGCCCCATCAAGAAAGGATTTATGCACGCTGGCATATTCTTCGGTTGCGAGGTTGACCATCAGTTCATCCTCGCCGTTGAGTGCCCTCTCAAAGGCACAAATAAGCTCGGATAGACAGTTCGCAATGCGGAAACGTTCTTCGTTATTTGTGAAAAAAGATCGCACGTCGGCCACAAGCTGAACATGGCTCTCAAGCAGTTGCATGCCATCTAGCACGTGCAGATCCCGCAGAAGTGAAGACATGTTACGGGGAATATGCGGCATAACAACACGTCTCAAACCAACAGCAGTGCTCCTCCCATTATTGCTGTTTACACTGCCACTTATACAAATATTACCACAGCCCTTCCTGCCCGATAGCTCGACAAGATGCCAAAGAGGGCCTTTCATCGTCATCGTGCCAGGGGACAAGTCCAGTGCAGCGATGCGTCGTAGCACATCTTCACACCACTGCACGACGCGTTCTTGAAGTCTTTGTGAAATGATATCGCAAAAATTGCGCACATCTCGTACTTCACTTTGTTCCACTCCGCGGCCGCTCCCCACACGAAGAATCACAAGACGTGACTTGGCGCGGCTAATCGCGTGTGCGTCACTCTCCTGCACAAAATTTTGTGCGTCGTGGATGTATGGGTCAGCGGACCACTCTGGCTTATCCTTTCCGTAAACAGCGTCAAGATACGCCAAGGCATATGCCGTGCCGTACACCTCGGGATCACCGCCAAGCTCCTTCGTCATAAGGTCATCTAGCGGGGCGCCAAGGAACTGTGCGAGGGACTCATCGAGGTACCAACAGTGCTCAATGGTGCGAAGGTTCAGCAACTGATGCCACCCATGCTCATATATGGCATCTCGACGCACAAGATAAGTCTCAATCTCCCGCTGCACAGATCTCTCCCAGAGCATGCGAGCAACAACGGGCGTCACACCGAAGCGGGCGACGGTTATTCGTACGGCGTCGCGGCAACTCTCCGCGTCAAAATAACGCTCTCGAACGTTTTTCATCTCGCGGTTGATTTGCTCTAGTAGGGCCATCTGAAACCCAGCAACAACAGCCTGCACCTTTTCACGCCGTAGTGGACGGAAACGGGAGTAAATGCGGTAAAGCGATGGGCCACAGCTTGTATTAGCCGCATACCCTGATAGTGTCCCCACTGCGACTGCTGATTCAGAGGAATAGGAGGCGGATGCCAGAGAGAGGCCACTACTACTCATCTCCTGCGCCGTTGCCAGCATGGTGCCAACAAGGAGTGCGAGACGCTCGTCGATTTTTGCCAGCCGTCGCTTGTAAGCTGCCAGCGCACGATGAAACTCGGAAGTCCCCGCTGGAGTCACATCCCACAATCTTCCAGTTGCCCCTGTTGCGGTGGCAAAGCAGTCATACGCGTCTGTGAGTTCCGCATGGAATGAGCACGTCATGCCCGCCTCCAGGCTGCCGTCAGCAAAGGTCCGTTTGACGGCACGCTCGTAGTGAAAGTGCTCATTCACAAATCTCCACAGCTGCCGCGCGCGTGAAAGGACCAGGGCGTGGTACTTCTGCTTCTGCTGCTGCGTGCCGCCCCGCGTGGGTGATGGCGGTGACGGCATGTGAATTTCGGACTGAAATAACTCCATTGTCTGCATGTAGCGTTGGTGCATATCCTGAAGCACCTGAATGTGGCGTCGCAGGAACTGCAGCTGTGCCTCCGGCGTTTCCATGCGCAACACATCATTTCTAGACACAAGCACCAAAAAGCGCTCCGCCAACTCCCGCACAATACTTTCCAGCAGGCGAACACTCTGCGAGGCCGGATATGTTGTCGGGCGCACCATCGCGGAGAACAGCTCTTCCACCAACGCCGCGTAGTTTTCCCCTTCTACCTCGTCAATCTGCTGGAATGGCACACTCTTCAGGTGATCCAAGTAATCACGCACAAGTTTCGCATGCATCTTAAATTCCACCTCATAGCTCGTTTCCACACGATTGCCAAGTAGACGGTGCACCAACTGCCACTCGCGACAGTGCAGCTGCTTTTGCACCTGCTCTACCCAACGCAGCACGGCCTGCCAGTACGCCACCTCATCACGTGCACTCACAATATCCCTACCCTCAAACTTGGTGTCCAGAACGCTGCGGCACTGACCGCAAAGAGTCATGACTTGGCGCAGAAACACAGTATTGGTGCACTTCTCAAAACCAAGAATCTCCACCAGCTGCTCAACGTCCGCTTCCGGGTGCGCTGCACAAAGCTCAAGAAGTTCGGCATGCACAAATAGTTTCAAGTCCACCTCGGCAAAGACCTGGCAGTGAGAGCGGACAGAACTCAGAAAGTCTTGCAACTGCGACCGCAGCTTGACCTCATGCTGGGATCGTAGAAGCGGTTCATAGACGGTCTGCAAAAGCGTCTGCAAGCTTTCTAGTGGCCGTCGCATATCTACTGCCTGGATGCTCAGATTCCGCAGCGTCAGAGGTCCTCTTTCCGACACTGCCTCCAATCCACCGGCGGGATGACGCAGTAAGATGAGAACACAGCACACCAAAGTGGATGGTGAGGAGCCCGTGGCGCTTGCTGCTCGGTCGATGCTGGCCGTGGGTGAAGAAGCGAGCCCGAGAGGAGCCTCCGCGGGTCGCTGCAAGACAGCTGACAAGTCACGCGTTGCCACTACACGATGCCCCGCCGCCACGCCAACCCCCGCGTTATGCTCCACAAACTCACACACCGCCAGATGTGGCTTTGTCACTTGACTGCTGCTATCGCCGCGGGACAGCGGGGGTTCCTCCCCGTCCGCATCCTTCTCCGAGCCCGCGCGATCCGTCAAAAAACATCGGAAGCCGACGTCGCCCACCCGCCGCAACGCCTCTCGCACCTCCTCCACCGTCGCCGACTGCATCATGGCGGCGATGACGGCAATGACATCCAGCGAAAAAGAAGGGTTTTCGCCACCCGCAACTCCCGAGGTGACTCCTGACATGCGAAGTAAACACGCCGCAGCCCTTTCTTTCCTTCCCTTTTTTTTTTGTTTTCTTCCCCTGTTCCTCTTGCTTTTTCCCCCTTTTTGTTTCCAGATATTGTGATGCAAACGGATACCAGAGCGCAGTTCTTTCCTTTCTCTCTCTCTCTCTCAGTTCCACTCTTTTTCTTAACTTCTCGTTCTTCCTCCGCCTACCAATTCCCTCGCAGGCGGAGGTAATTCCCTGCCTTCCTCTTTCTTCTTATTTGTGTGTGTTTCCTATACTCCTCTCCCCCTTCCACTCCTGCCGTGGATTAGTCGTGTGACGGCACTATGTATGCGTAAACAAATGGGTTTGTGTTATTCAACAATGCTCGCTATTGTTGCGAGTATCACGCACATGTATAAACAAATGCTTGTGCTCACTAAGCACAGAAAATAAATAGAGAATAATAATACCCCCCCCCCCCCCAAAAAAAAAAAAAAAAAAAAAAAAGAAAAAAAGAAAAACAGAACAAAAACACACACATACATACATACAAAAAAAGGAAGATCATACATACCAAAAGTAATGCATAATATATATATATATACATATATACATATATATATATTTCCACGTATACGCAAGTGTATATTATTGTACTCGGATGCATGTGGGCTTTACAATGGCGATTTATCAATAGTAACAAAAAGTTCAAAAAATCGTATCCAAATAATGAAAAACGGGGGAATAAGAAACAACAACACGACCACAAACATATGTACGTATATATGTATATATATATATAGGCTTTAAAATGCATAAAAACTATTGATCTCTCGTATCTGAAAACTCACTCTGGTCTGTGTCTTCATTTAGTACAATGGTAGCATGAATGGAGCGCTGACAAATGCAGCAGTGGGTCAAAGTTTCCACGCAGCCAAGACAAAGGGCAAAATGCGCACATGGCAGGGTAATAACGTTCGCCTCGGTGCGCATGCATAGCCAGCACATGCGCACTAACTGATGACGTACACCCGTTTGTGGTGACGATGCAAGCGAGTAGGACGCGGCGCGCATGCGGTATTTTGACGGCCACACGCTTCTTTCGGAAGCCGTAATGTCCTCACGCTCGTTGGTGTGACCTCCCGAAGAGAAGTCGTTGATGCCACAGCGTCCCATAAGAACTCGCTCCTCTCTGTACTGCACAAATGTGCGATCCGACACCTCTGTGACGGCGTAAAGATCATTTCCAATGCGCACGTACTGCAGCGCTACCGACATCACCGCGCCAATTTTACTCCGCATAGCCTCCAAGAGAGCTGTAATTTTTCAGGCTTGGCTGAGCCCGGCTGCAGCCGCCTCAAAGAGGTTTGAACCTCCTCCGTTCCAGGCAAAGGGTATGTCTCACCTATCTCACGGCACTCATTGGGATCATTCAACCTCAGCGAACTTCCCGGTGGGCTATTACGAGGCGTTCCTCCCCCTGGCATTGCTGACGCAGATTTTGGAAGTAGGCTTGCCATTGCGTTCGCGGTGGAATACACACATACGAAACAATCTGACGTCTGCTGTCTGGTATGGCTTGTTATCTGTCGTTTTTCACGCCCAGAGTTGCGGCCTTCTTGCGGTGTTCGTCTATATAACATGAGAGCAAACGTCAATGGGTGTCTTGGAATCAATTCTGCGTCGTTTTGTTTCTTCTCATGATGTCGGCTGTCTCTGCCCTTCTTTTCACCTTTCTTCTCGCATTTTTTCCCCGCTTTTTCCCCCCCTGCATCTTTTCCCTCTCCTCCTCCTCCTCCTCCCTCCCCTGCGTTCACTTCGTTGCCTGAGGCGGGGGTGGGGCCATTTTTGAAGCAGTTCTGAAAGGCAGCAAGGGAAAGATCCACAGCGTCCACCTGCAAAGAGGCCGGCGCCGAAGTAGACGTCGTCGTTGTGGTGATAATGGCATTTGCATCAGACTGCAGGGCATCGGGGGTAATAAGTATGGATCCCTCGTACGCCCTGGGAATAATGGGACCTTGTTGCGGCTCTGTTAAAAAAATATCTACAAATTCCCGCGGCCTTCTACAATGACCCTTTTTGGAGGTTGCTGCCTTGTTTGCATTTCTATTGGTCCCGGGAGCATCATCGACGTTGGTAACGGGGACGTTGACAGGGTCGGAAAAAGTGACTGCATTCTCCGCTGGGAGTGGAGCCCCATCTACATCCGCAACATCACCCGCCTCCTCCTCCTCATCCGTGTTCATCGCCTGTGGTTCTGTATGGGGCATCATCTTTCCGGTTTCCACGGAATCCCCTTCGTTGCACGCATCGCTCGTAGAAGAATCCGTCCATGTCGGGGGAGATGTCGATGAAGGCAGCGTGGAGGTGGATGGAGAAACCGCCGTAACAAACATGCAATCATCATTGGATTCCGTCAAATCTTGTGCCGCATCATTCATAATGGAAGCCGGCACATATTTACTCATCTCAAATCCTTCCTTTTCGTTTTTTCCTCTTTCCTCGCGTGTGCGGCTTCCACTGGCAAAGCACGCAGTCTCGGAGACATCTACAAACGTCTCTGTAAACGCGTTGGACTTTGTGCTGCAACACATTGAGCGTGTCCGCCCAGCCAATGTTGAGAAGGAGCCCAATGATCCTTGTCGTGAAGGCAAACATTCCCCGACTGATGTCATGGAGTTCACCAACATGAGATGACGACGTCGCCGTGATGGTGGATTTGTTTGCGTCACCGAGTCTTCATAAAAAGCCCCCGACAACGGCATGCAAGGAGTATGATCACCAAACTGAAAGCGTGCACCCAGCCGCTGTCGATTGTGCCAGTCAAGAAGTCGCGCTCGCTCGCGTGCACAGTTTTCTTCATCCTCGGCGGTGTAATAACAATGGTACATGAAAGAGCCACGGCCAAAGGTGCGTGTTGTCCCCACTGTGACAGCCCGAATGATGTCCACATCGTCCGCACCAAATATGCATGCACAACGCAGTTTGACAGGTAAATCGGCACCTTCACTACCGTCATCGGCAGCCACCAAGCTTATTTTGGGATCCTCAAATATCATTGTGTCGCTGCGAGAAAGCGCCCCACAAAATGCGGAGGAGGAATCTCTTCCAAATGCTTCTATAGATGCGTTCCCTAGTTGGATACGAGAAAGATTGGGAGCCTCAATTCGCGCCGCCGTCTCCACTCGGAACTGAAGCGAGAGTTGAGAGCGGGCCATCAAGCGCCCTACCCCTGAGTTGCCTTCCTGTTTGTGATAGCCGCCGCCCAGGTCGCTGAGAGACAGCTCACGGTACTGATGGTAACCACCGTTGCCGAATGAACCCATCATCTGGTGGGAGCGTGAGGCAGAGGGCAGCGCCGCTGTTTCCATTGCACATCCACGGGAGTGGCGCGCCACGTGCGCACTGCCTCCGCCACCAGAGTGTACGAAAGATGACGAAGGAATGGTGTTAAAGGAGGCCTCATTGGCGTCGGTGTCATTCTCCGGGCGCACCTCAGGGAGGAGGAAATCATTTTGTCGCGCTGTCGTGGTGCTCCTCAGCTTCACAAGGACTTTTGCAGAAGGCACGGGGTGAAGTTGCAGCGGCAACGTAAGGCCATTCACCTTCGGTAACCCGTGCAACACAACCGCCCTGTTTGCCATGTGCGTCAGCGCCACTTCATAGACTGGGCGTGTGGTGAAAACCAAAAACGGAATGATGATGGGCGGTCGCTTCTGATGGATTGAGCGACGAATGCGCCAAAGCTCCAGCAGCGTCACGATGTTCCCGATAAGAGCCAGAGCCAAATACACAAAGGCCAATAGAATCAAATAATTGACGATGGCTGAAAACATTTCCGCTAAATTCTACAGTACAGTCGTGCACATGGATGGGGCCTTGCCCAATTATTTCTACCAAAGAGAATGCGGAGAGGGGGGCACTACAGAGAACGCGAGCTTACAGTTTGGGCTCACCGCGCCCCGACATCTTTCCCTCCCTCCACCCAAACGCCAACAATGAACAGCAGGAGACATGCCACTTGTGTTATGAATTCCGGGTTCGCCGTGAACGAACGAGGTGGCAGCCTCTTTGGTGCTCCACAACCGCCGGAGTCCCCCATCCGTGTGGAAGAAAGCGGTCTTATTCGTAGGGGGTTGTGCAAGGAGAAAAAGAAAAAAAAAAAGGAACTGCCCTTGCCATGCCCACCAACACGCATCCCCGTTTTAGGGACCCCAAAATAAAGTTATGAGCAAAAACGAAAAACGCCCGAGCTCCATATGCCTTCAAATCCCCACCCCGCCCCCCTCTCGAGGGTGGCCGCCCACTCAAAAGACACACGAACCAAAAAAAAAAAAAAAAAAAAACAGTGGCAAGTGCAGCTCGAAAAAAGAAGAAGACAGACGCACGCCGCATAAATAAACAACAAAACTTATCTCCGCCCACCACTACTTACGAATTCGCACCTCCTTTGTACATCTCTCTCTCTCTCTCTCTCTCTCTCTCTCTCTCTCTCTCTCTCTCTCTCTCTCTCTCTCTCTCTCTCCACCCAACGACCCCGAACCCCCGCGGTAAGTTGGGCCCAACAACAACAACAACAACAAAAGGGGTCGGTGTAACGACACAGGGCAAATAAATAAATAATTAAAAAAATATATTCACAAAGTCCCCACCGGGGGGCTCCGTCACGGCCCATCGAGAATTCACCGGAGACAAACAACAACAACAACAATAAAATAAAAGCCATCCACCGGGAAAACAAACAAACAAGCAGAGTAGCCAACAAGCACAAATCAGTATGATTGTATACATTCGTTTCAAAAACCTCTACAACAATAAACACACAGGCAAACAAATACACGTTGTGGTAAATCCTAAAGAGTTTGACAGTTTTTAAATTATTATTACTATTATTTTTTAATTCGCGGTGCATGTTCTAAAACAAATCGATAATCTTTCCGTCGCGCCCCTCTGCAGCGCTTTACGTCGATTTCAACCTCCATATTTCTCTTCTCTCTCTCTCCCTCTGCCTCAAATACACATAAAAATTGCTGAATAAAAAGCCTACATCACACAACAACACGGGGAATCGTTCTCTGGACTTTGAGTCACAGGCACTGCAAACTTCATCGCTGGAACACGTTGTGCCTTATGAACCGCCATTTCTATTGCCAAAAGCGTCAAATCAAGAAGTTGCAAAAGTGTTGGAGGAGAGCCGTTTGCTGCCGCATCTCTTGCACGAGTGACAACATTTGCTACAAGAACATTGAGTTCCCTGTGTATATGTGTGAGTATGCGCTCAACTTCTGTTGCCATTGACAAATCAAGCGTAATGCCAAGTCGCACCTTCCTTAACTGCTGCTCGGCCGCTATTCGAAGCTCCCGCTCTTTATGTAATTCCCGAAGTAACACCGCTGCTGAACTATTGTTTCCATCCATATCCAATGAGACTTCTCTAGGTGTAAGCCGGGGGCTATTAAAACTGGGAAACATGTCCTCCACTTCGGAGAGGGCGGAACAAAAGCCTTCATCTTCGTCTAAACCCCTACGAAGGACGGTTGAACGGCGGAGGGAAGTGCATGTTATAGAATCAAACTGACTGCTTGTACAGCGGCTAAGGAACTGTTGTGCCTGCGGCAAGCCGTTCCCATCGGGGTTTAATGTGGCGGCCATTTCTCGGCGTTGCAGGTGCTGGTTCCAGTCGTTGATGTTTACAAAGGACGGTGGCAACTGCCACAAGGGTCGTGTCTTGGGGTCTTCCAAAGACAAATAACTCCTGACGTTAAACCAGTGAGAAAGAACGGCATCGGCAAAATTATCGGGCGATTCCACCGACGTGTTGCTGCCGCCCAACTCCTGGGTCAGCACATAACGGTCAATATACTTCTGAATATTCCCCCGTGTGACCATCTGCACCACACGCTTTTCTTCCCCTGGATTGTCACCAAAGGCAGCTTTAATTCCCTGACGCACATCCCATGAGGCCTCAAAGATCAGCAGCAGCCCGATAAACCGAGGATAATATTTCTTCATGATGCTACGGAAGGCATGCGCGTTTGAAAGTGCTGCCTGACTGGCATGCCACGATGAGACCTCTTCATTCACCAAGAGGATGATCTGCTGTTGGTGTAACGAAGGCAACGTTTTGCCATTCCTACTGCCATGCGATGGCGACGATGGCGCCCGTGTGCAGTACGATAACATATACTCCATGACAACCGACAGAAAGCGCTGCATGTCTTGGGCATCAAGCCCGAACTGAATGAAGCGATGGGCCCTGACGTACAGCACCGGACGACCCAACACGTCACGGCCAATGACAGAAACCGTTCCACTGCGCAAGACTTCCAGCACTGGAGCAGTAATATGTAGAGAAAGCAGACTCATCTCGTAGGAACGTCGTTGCTTCAGCAGCGCCACCGCCTCCGAGACGGAGAGATGCACCGCGGACAAATACCGGAGGAGGAAGGCGTCAACGGAGGCGTCAAGCGTCACGGAGGGCGTCCAGCCGAGAATTTTTTTGAGCTCCAACAGCACCTGCTGCTCTCGGCTGGAGCCAATTTTCTCCGCGCTCTCATCATACAACCGCCACCCCTCCGTTCCATCAGCGGCTGGATTCTTTGCTCCCTCCACCATCACCAGCAAGAGGGACAGTGAAAATGACGGTCACGTCGAGACACAGTCGGGACGTGCAGGCAAAAGTATTCTGCTCTTTTTTGGCTCTGAATTGCACTCAGAGCAAAAAAAAGAAAAAAAAATTGTCAAGTTATGTACACAAACAAACGTGTGGATCCATCCAATTGGACGGAAGACAATTCAACCGAGCACTCCGGTAAAGCAAGTGCCACCGTCAATAAACACCACCACCACCAAAACAACAGCAACACCAAAAAAAAAAAAAAAAAAAGTAAAACAACAGTAAGCAACCACGCATATTTATCTGTTACGGTTGCCCTATTTTTGCGTACTTACTCAAGCATTATCATGCAGTACGTATGTCGCAGCGTAAAGTACATACAACAACCCAATCCCATCCAACTGCTATAGCCGCAGTATTTCATGCGTTTATGAAGTTTAAACTGCTGCATCGAAGAAAGCATCCACAGCCACGACGCCACCGTTTCCAATTGGAATACGTTCTTCTCCTCTAGGCTCATCCCTGCCGCCACCTGACGACGTTTTGCCGAATCCTCAATCTCAAATACTTTGCGTACCTGCATATTAAGAAGGAAAGTGGTACCAGAGGTCCACATGGAAAGACTTGTGAGCGCCGTGCCCTGACCGCGCACATGCATGAGACCACCAAACGTGTAGGCAGAGAGTGCCAGCAAAACATCGGCAACCTTATGCCTCGCATTGCTCCGCAAAAAAGCAGTTATACCCTGCTCCAACTCTTGCCTCTGCGCCGCCCCCTCCACAATGCGAGAAATATCCTCCTCCACCGACATCCCATCCGTCTTCTTGCCCGTAGGCGTCACCGCAGTGTTCGTGTGGGTCATGTGCACAGGAGAGGGCCCAAACAAAAGTTAAGGAATAACCACAACCAAAACAGTGGAAGACCGCGGTCTTCCCCTTTCTCTTCTAAAGACGCCTGAGGCTCTTAAAAATGTATTTGTGTGTGTGTGTGTGCGGTGGCAAAAAAATAAAATAAAAATAAACCTTGCCTTTATTGTTTTTATCGGCAATGATTAGACAGCCACCACCGCTGCCGCTGCTGCTGCCGCCAGAGCCGCGGCGGTCCGATCGGTTATCTTTCGTCTGGGATCCATGAGAAAACGGGGTGTGTGTCGTAGAGAATAAATAAAAAGATGCAAGCAAAGACGTGGGACACACCGACAGAAGTAAATGACACGTGCCTGAGAGAGAAAGAGAGCAAGCAAGCGTCAGTGCAGAGCCGCGACGCCTCTCTTTCTCTCCCTCCAGCAAACACAACCGCAAGCCAAAAGAAAACTACAATCGGCAAGGGTCATACACAGACACAGAGAGAAAAAGAAGAAAAGAAAGGGATGTACACATCATCTCGTATTTATTTCATCAAAGTTAAAGGAAGTGGAAACATAAAAAAAAAAAAAAAAAGGACAGAGATGAGAGTGGGCAGAGTCAAATAAAACATTTACAACGACACACCACCGTGACTGACAGGGTAATGGAAGATACACAACAACCCTTTCCCATCTCACCACCTTCCTCTTTCTCCCTCGCTCTATGTGCACACAAATCAGCCTTTTGAAAGAAGCCGCTCACGCCAAAGAAAAAAAAACCACAACATTGCAGACGCCGTCAAAGAAACAAGAGCCAGGCACAAAAAGAAGCGGAAAAAAATAATGCCCAAGGCTTTTTCTTCCCTCATCGACCGTGCAGCTGTAACCGTCTCTCTTCTTGATGCTTTAGATACTCGTGCCAGAGTTGTGTCTCATTGGCAAATCGAGCACACTCCAAATCCATTTCCTCGCGAAGCTGCTTCAACGCCGCCGCGCGATCCAAACCGGCAGTAGGAGGAGGAGCGGCGTCCAAACAAGGTTGGGGTGCATTCGATGCGTCTGCGGCAGGGCTCTCTCGTTGTGGCGCCGCCGCCACAAATGCACCGTCAGTCATTCGTGGTGGTGAAAAATAACGAGGGGCAGATGACGGCTTAGCAAGGGGGACAGTACTATGCTGTGAAGCCGTTTCCAAACAACAAGTTGGCCGCGAGGCATTCACAGAAGACAGTTGTGCGCCTCTCATGTCTGACGGCAGGGGCCGAGCAGCCGCGCTCGAAGAGACGACATTCATAACTGCCTGTTGAGCACTATTTCGTAACTGCTCAATGTACGCCTGTAGCTCTTCCAGGCGCTGAACACTGAATCGGTGCTGTTGCTCGATAGCGTCGCAGCGCATCTTCCACCGACGCAGCTCTTCTTTTTCTTCTTGAGCTCCAAGAACTTCCGACTGCACGGAATGTGTTTGCATTAACCGTGTCAGTTCATTTAACTTTGCCTTCTGCTCTTCCTGCGCCTTTCGAACTGCCATGAGCTCTTCTTCTTTTGCATAAATTAGACTGAGTGCCTGGTTTAACTCTCTATCTCGTTCCTGCTGCCACTGACTCAAGTTTGCTCGAGCAGTCTCTTCAACAGCCAATGGTGGAACGAAGTTTTTAGCACCAAGAATTTGTGCTTCAAGTTTTTTACATTGGGATTCGGCAGCTGCCACCCGCCGTATCTCCGCCTCTCTCGAAAGCAATACATGCTGCAGGAGCGCACGGTGCTGTGGATCCAAAGAAGATCCAAAGTGCTTGTCCACCCATGCCTTCATCGTCCCTTCTGCCGATCCCCATGGTACTCCTTTGGACGCAAATGGTGGTGCTTCTGGCAGCTCGTGTCTCAACTCGGGTATCGATGGCGCCGTGGCCGTTGATACTCGCGGAGATGGTGGCGCGGTGTAGACCAATGGCGGCGGTGGTAGTGGGGGCGGTAATTCCGCCTGGACTGGCGCTTTCGGTTTCGGCTGTGGAGCCGACTGCGCCTTTTTCCCCGCGTCCATCTTGTAGGCGGTCATCACTTCCGCCGGAAACGGTGACAAATTGGGCTGTGACAGTATTGTGTGTTCCGTCCTTCTTTGGAGAGGAGTAGGCAATCGTTGTACGGCAGATGCCGGGCTGGAAAAAGGGGCTTCCACAGGCTCTAATATGTTTTCATACATCGCCTCCAGCATTTCCTGGTCGTCCTGACGAAGACGGACCAACAGCTCCAATATTTGTCCATAGGTTTTCGAAGCCCGCTGCTCTTCTTGTTCGTAAGCAAGCTTTTCCTCCAGCCGCTGCTGCTCCAAGTTGCGCACATAGGCGTCGGCCTTTTCCAACAACAACTTCTCTCGCAGCGCATTCATAACATCCGCAGGCGTTGGTTCAGGAGTTCCCGCCACTAGAGCCGGCTGCACAACGGGTGTGGCCGCGGGGACTGGCGTCGAAGTTTGTGCTGTCCCTGCCGAAGTCATTGCAGCTCCTGCGGCTTCCGACAAGGTGTTTGGCGTTGGCTGCACAACGGGTGTGGCCTCGGGGACCGGCGTCGAAGTTTGTGCTGTCCCTGCCGAAGTCATTGCAGCTCCTGCGGCTTCCGACAAGGTGTTCGGCGTTGGCTGCACAACGGGTGTGGCCGCGGGGACCGGCGTCGAAGTTTGTGCTGTCCCTGCCGAAGTCATTGCAGCTCCTGCGGCTTCCGACAAGGTGTTCGGCGTTGGCTGCACAACGGGTGTGGCCGCGGGGACTGGCGTCGAAGTTTGTGGGGAGGCGGATGATTCCAAAAAAGAAACTTGGTGTGCAACTACTGGCACACAGTCAGATGGTGGGGAGTTTACTACATGTGAACTGCTAGGCTGCGGCATGGAAAATGACACACTAACATTTGGCAGGCTACCAAGAGTGAAGCCGCTCATATGAACGATCGGTGCAATCCCGGTGGTGTGCGCGTGATGCGTAACGGCAGATGCATCAATAGTTACCTTCGAGGTGTCGGCTGAAATATCTTCCGTGCCTTGTCGTTTTGGAGACGGTATCTTTTGCGGTGAGGCCACAGAGGCCGGGTGCGGAATTGACTGCAGACTCTGCCGTGCCGCTGTCTGTCCTGCTGACAGAGCAACAGGCAAAAGGGAGGGTGTGCCTCTGCGGAGTGGCTGACGCACCTCCGTGCTCCCCTTCGACACGTCTCCGTATTCATGCGGCGGTGTACTGTCTTGGGGTGGCTGGCAACCGCCCCCCTCATTACTTTTATTTTCACCCACAGACGAAAAATGCGACGGCACGGACTCCGCCAGGCGAATAAACGACGAGACCGTAAGAGACGACCTAGAAGGCCTGAATGTCAGGCCCCGCTGGGCATCCCGCGCGTTGCCGGCCAACGCGGCATCCCCCAAGTCAGTCTCCACAGACTTCGTGTGGGTGTGTGCCGCCGCCATGGGTGAATGTGATACGCCTGCCGAGCTCTTTGGCGAACACGAGCGTCTCGCGTACGACTCCTTCAACGAGTCTCCCCTTTCCCCCTTTTCACGTTCCTCCACTCTCCCACAAACACTACCGCTGCAGCCGTGTCGTGCGTGAAACAAGTGGTGGTACCCAATACAGCAGGAGCAGCAACACGATACATGTCGACGGTGATCTATGCCGCCGTTGGTGATGTCTACTTCCACGCCTTGCACTCGCTGCAGCAGCCACGCTTGCGCGTTGGGAGCCACTGAGGAGGCAGCGCCACGAGTCGGGCGACGACCGTCACCAATAGCGCCGCGGAGACGATCATCATCACCGTGGCCTTCGCGCCGCACATGTGGTGGGCAGCTGCAGTGGTAACCACACACATCACACGTGGAGTGGCTGCTAGCCGCTCGGCCACGGGACTCCATGCGGTGTTGAAGTCGACGATATGCCGCGGCATCCATTTGAAAACAAAGAAGAAATGTTAAAAACAACTGCGAGGAGACAAACGGGTCCGGGGTGAGCAAGAAGGAAGAACGTACTCAATACACACAAACACGGAAGATGAAAGTGTGAGAGAGAGAGAGACTACTCACGGTCCCTCCTCTCCCGCCCTATTATTATTATTATTATTATTCCTTCTTCCCGCCTTAATACAAACAAACCCCACTTCTCTCTCTCTCTCTCTCTCTCTCTTGCTTTCTCCTCTAACTGTCTATCTATCGAATCTATCTGTGTATGAGAACAAGAAGGGTGTGGCCAAGCGACAAGCTGCTTACACCTCCCCTCTCCTTCCTTGTTTGTATATGTATGTATGTATGTATGTATGTATGTGTGCAATGTATGCACCGTCTTTTCCCTCCCTTTTTTTTCTTTTTTCTAAAGTGTTCGTTCGTGCCCGCGAAATTCCGTCCCCTTTAGCTGCCAGTGAAAGAACACACACACACACAAAAAGAAAAAAAAGGAAAAACAGGCAGAAGGATGGGCAAAGAAACATGACAGATGGACAAGAGGACAGTAGTCATAAAAAAAGAAACGCACAGCAACAAATAAAGACAGGCAGTGAAAAAAAAAAAATCACCGTACTTGCCGGCTCCCCGCAGCCCATCATTGCAGGGCGTTCGGCGCCGTCGCCATCGGATCCCTTCAGATGCAAACAAAATGGCCAAATGAGGCACAACGACAAAGAAAAACAAACAAACAAAAATAGGGATAAAACACGCGCTGCCCCACACAACGGCAGCACCTTCTCAATTATCACCCCGACTTAACTTTTCTCTCTCTCTCTCTCTCTCACTCCCTCTCTCTCTTTAATCTCCAACCGCGATGTGCTGCCCCCCCCCTCCCTCCCTTTCATTTCCTTTCGCCTCGCCTTATTTCTTCGTCTTTTTCTGCGCGGCGGTCGCCTTATTCAGCACGTCGTCTGTGTTCATCGCCTCGGGGAGAATCACAAAGCGGATGGAGTTCCCCCGCACCACGTACGTCTCTGCCTGCACCGGATTTTTCCCCTTTGCCGTGATCTTCACATGACGCATGTGCGTGTTCATGCTCGGTTCCACAAATGTGATTTCACCAGAGACGATGGAAGAGTTCAGCAACTCAATCTCCACAAGTGTTCCCCGGAGCTGCTGGAGGAAACCAATAAGCGTGGATGACTCCGCAGCGGGCATGATGTCCGTGAGAATTCCACTCCTTCTCCTTTTCCCTTCTTTTTTTTTTTTTTTAAATTTTCTCTCTCTCTCTCTCTCTCCGTCTATACGTACCCCTTTTTACGCAAAGATGTCTAATTCTCTTTTCCCCGCCCTTTTTTTGTTTAAAAGATTTCCTTCGGGAGGCCTAATAATTCCCCAGCCAACACCACCACCTCCTCGGTTCCTTTGCAGAGCGCCAACACATACAGAGAGAGACACACACAGAAAAGAAAAGAAAAAAAGAAAAAAAAAAGAGGTTTGGGTAGAAAAGGTAACGGGGGGAAAAAAAAAAAAAGGAAAACGATCGGGGCAGGGCAAAGGACAAAATACACACAACAGCAATAAAGCAGGAGAGCGGGTATTCGGGACCCCGGCGGATGCCACAACGTAAGCACGCACTCATGCCCATAAAAAGACACAACTCTATCTCTTGTTTCCGTTATCGTTGCCCCCCCCCTCTCTCTCTCTCCCCGTCTGCCTCTCCGGCCAATCAGCCAATGTTCTTATTAGTTTGTGTGTGTGGTGGTGGTGGTGGTAAATTTATTATTACGATTATTATGATTTTTGACGCCTATGAATCTCCTCCATTCCCCTTTTCTTTTCTTTTCTTTTCTCTCTTTCTCTCTCTCTCCGTGTGCGTGTGTGTGTGTGTTTTAATTTCTTTTTTTATTTTTTATTTTATTTCTTCCCTTCTCTCCTTCTCTCACATTCTAACGATATGTTTTTTCTTTTTTCTAAAAAGACCAAAACAACAAACAAACAAACAAACAAACAAATGCGAGAAATAACGTCTTCACGGACACTTCTGGTTGAAAACGTACAAATAATGCAATCAACAACACAACGAGTGTGTAAAGGAGTGGGTGGGAGGGAAAGAAAAAGAGAAAAAGAGAAAAAGAAAAGGAGAAAACCAAATAAAAGTTAACAGGAGGCAGACACGAAAACATCAGGCACAAGAAAAAGATGGTCTGCGCACACCAAAAAACAAACAAAAAAAAAACAACAACAACAACAAGAAAAAAGAAAAAGGGATTGTGCGTGTACGCATGGGTACATGTGAATCCAACGGACCAACACCAACCAAATACACGTCCAACAACAAAAAAGAAAGAAAAAAAAAGAAAAAAAAGAGGAGTTTATGCAGTCAACGCCAAAAGGCACTTCTTCGTGTGTCTCCCATTAATATACATACATTTATATGTATTTATGCATATGCGTCTCACCTGCACCCTCCTTCTCTCGGCTCAGTGCTTCACTTCGTATTCATTGAGGGGGGGAGGGGGGGCTGCCGCAGTGATGCGTGCTGCACTAAACCTCTGGTGTTTGACTTCGACTCATCGAATTGAGATCACTCCCGCCGCGGGGCATCCCCGTGGCGCTGTCCATATATGCATCTTCTAACTGTTCCGTGTTCGACGGCGCCACGTGGGAACTGCCACGTCGTGACGACGCGTGCCGAAGCGATGTGTTGCTCAGCAATGAGAATAAAATATCAAGTCCAAAGTTGTGCTGATTTGGAAACGACATCATCTGCGCAGCATCGGCCTCCATCATCAAATCAACTTCATCGTTCACACATTCCAACGCTTCCCTTTGAAGCATCAACTGCTCACCATGCCCGTTCATCACCCCATTTTCACCGGGGCCTCTTCCTCTAAACGCCGCCGCCACTTCTTCTCCGCTGAGTATATTGACAATCTCCGGAGTCTCATCCTCCGTAAACATGGCGGCTGGCTCCTGTTTTTGTTCCTGTTCTTCGTGCGATGGGGCGAGACTGTCATTCACTTTAACAAAGGGCGTGACTGCGGGTTTCTTGGGACGTGAAAATTTCTTTGGCAGAGAAATCACTGAATTCGGTACCACCGCCATGGAATTGATAGGAGCCACGGTGATTTCTAGGGTGTCAATGCTGCTGCTGCTGCTTCTTGTGGCGGTCTCCACGCTGACCGGCAGGACCTCCTCACTTGAGCGTCCGATGCGCGGGGATTCACCTCTCATCCCGTCCAGGGCTTTCGCTCCAACCATCAGCGAAGCATCTCTCACGGCTGTCCGCTGCGGGTATCGCCCTCGGGCAAACAATGGCGGGAGCGACGGCGTTGACACGTCTGGCGTGGACCACGCCTTGAACAGTAGCACCAACATTGGGACGAGACCAACAGAACTGCAGCAGAGAATCGTGTAGATGCCGTACCGCAGTTGCCCAGTCCATTGCGCCACGTACCCGCACACCATCGGACCGCTAAAGTTACCCAACAGATTATACATCATTTGCGAGAAAGCGGCGCCTGCGGGACGGAGATGTTCAGGGACAGACGTCACCACCATTCCGCTCCCTGGAGGAATAATGGCACCACCGCAAAAGAGCACAATGGACATAATAATCAAAAAAGTAATCGTATCGGTGACAAAGATACACATTACACTAAAAAAGGCGGTCACAAAGCCCCATGCACAGATAAATGTTGTCACACGTCGTAAATTTCTCTGGTATCCACCGATGCGATCCAGCAAAATTCCACCTGCAATGACGCCAAGCACAGGAGCCGTCACAACCGCACCGCCAAACCCTAACATAATCGTTTTCATGGATGCATTAAATGGATCGTCACGAAGATACTGCGTCAAAAAGTTCTGCAGTCCGGTCACAACAAAATACAGGGAACACATGGAGAGTGTACTACACATGTACTCCCTATTCCGAAAGAGAGGAACACAGGATCTCCATATCAACAAAAAGTTAGAGTGAAGAACATTCAAGACCCGCTCTGTTGCACTCATTTCCGCTAAAGGAGATGTAGCAAATGTAGGTGCCGCCTCTGTCCTATTTCTACGAGGCCGATCAATGGAGAAGGAGTCTACTCGCATAAGATACGCCATGGCTGGTATTGTAAATATACATTTGATATAGAATGCCCATTCCCAATTTATATTGGTATACGATGGCAGAAAGGCACCACATGTATAGCCAAGCATAATACCAAGTGGCACTCCAGCATTATGTGAAGCCATCCACACCGATTGACGATCACGTGGAGCAAATATATCCACCCACACAGGTGTATACACTATAACAAACGATAAGGTAATCCCAATGAGAAACCTACAAAGCAAGGCAAAACCGTAATTTGTTATCGTCGCAAAGAAAAAGGTAAATGCTGTATGCAAAATAAGAGAGCATACCAACACCCTTTTTGCGCTATAATGAGAAAACATGTGGCCTGACAGTGGACAGCCAAGAATATTGCCAAGAAAGACACTTGAACTAAGCGTTCCCTGCCGTACTGTGCCCAGACCCCATTCCTCTGCAATCCCGTTCTCTGCTCCAAGTGCCGCACTAAATGCCCCCGAGTCAAACGACCCAATCGTTTTAAGTACAGTAAAAAGCAACAAATTACGACTAAGCAGCGAAATACTGTTGGGAAGGTCGGCGTCAAAAGAGTCATTCTGGTGGATTTCCGGCTCTTGCGTCATTGTGGCCAATTCTCCCTTCTCCATGATGTCCCACGAATTGACCAACATTTCACCGGAGTCTCTCTTTGCGTATGCCTTCTGCATAACTCCGCCTCCGTGAAGCCTCTTCCTTCTCTCCTTACAACCGCCACCAACACCGCCGCCGTCTCCCTAACAAACTCTTCCCTCCCCCTCCCGCTTCCTTTCCCTTTTCACCACCACCCACC